CCCTAAAATATAGACTGGTAGAAATTGAGTAGATTTTGCACATTTTTCTAAGTTCATTACAAATCGACATTGTATTCAGAAAAGTGATGATATGCAATCCAGTTGATGCTTACACATTGTTTTCTGAATACATTGTTGACGTCTTTGGTAGGCCTGTAGAAGAACATAAAAAAGTGGAGATAAGAATGACAACAATAAAAGAGATACAGATTTCAGATAGGTCTTAATAATCATAAAAAAAATAATTCAAATCGTTATCTTTATTTCCCTTCTTGGAGTGTGAATGAATATTAATAAGACATATTTGGACAGCAGGAAGTAAAGATGTGTTGTAACTGGCAAGCCTTGAAACATAATAGGGGTGATCTGGGATTTGAACCCACTATCATCATAGGTTTCTGGCACCCCAAAGGGCCACAACTCTACATAACTGATTAAGCCTCCCGGAAAAATGACGACATCAGCCTCCAACTAGGTAGCATTGATTTTACAACAACTCCATCAAGGACAGCTTTTCTAGGAAAACTAAGGTAGTTTCTTTTCAGCGAAGCCTTGATTCTCAAGGAAAATGGAAACAATTCTAGATTTATTATAGATCAATGGAATTGTTTTGGCAAAATGTGGAAGTCAAAATAAATTATCTTAGTGTCTCAATACTATTGCAATAGTTGCAGTGGACCAAGTCACCACTGTTCGGGAGCCGTACTGTTAGTTATGGTGTCTTTAGTGGCGGTGTATGGTGTCATATTAGGTTAGCAGATAAATGTTGGGCGGGCGTAATGTTGTATTCCTTTGTGCCAGCTTGCAACATTTGACCACATTTTAATGATACTGTATCTTTACCTCTGTACATAGTAACAGAATGAGACTCAAATGAGACAATATTTAACCAATTTATTCTCAGTATTATGAAAATTAAAGTAATTTCAGGTTCCCATTCCTGTTTGTCTCAAGACAGGTGTAAGAATTCTGATATGATTTAGAAGATGTAAATTTTGCCCTTTACTCAACCATTTTTGTAAAACTGATGTCCAGTAAGTGTCATGTGTAATTAAACATGGTGTGTATATCCACTGTTGGAAATAGCAGCCTCCTGCTTAAAATCCTGTGGCTAGCAAAATTTCAGTTGACCTAAAAATTCTGAAATGTCCCTATCCCAACTGGCTTCCCGAAATTGTAACAGTAATTTGTTTATACACACCTCTTAATTGTAACATGAAAAGTTCTCCCTTTTCTGTAAATCAATACAACCATAAAAAAAATAAAATAATAAAGTTAATATCAGTAACAACATATTTGCAATTTGGGTTTAATTGATTTTGCATAGTGAAGCTAGTGAAATTTGAAACTGTCTGGTAAATCTTAAGGCTAGCTAGCCCCCAATATTTTGAGAATATTCCACCTGTTGTGTATATGAACATTGTTTTATTCTGTCATGAGAAGACCTGTATGATATTGAACAATGACAGAATCTATGATCACTGATGAAAAAATACAGAAACCAACATTTTCTTCAGGTGGGCTTTCCACATAATTCAATGTTTTTTTTAAATCATAGCTTAATTCAATTATCATGTTTATGAAAAACAACTTAAGTATATCTCCCTGTCAAGTGTGAAGGAAAGTATATTGAACATGTTTCACCCTTTGAACTTGTGAAAGAAGCATGTGAATGAGTGTGAATGATTGAAACAATGGCTGTGGCGGCACTCAGCTCCAACAGCATCACTTCAGCAGCGTGTGCTGCTTCTGATGACGACTCGATGCTGATGGTACAAAGTATTTCTAAACAAACCGGGCATACACTTGCTTGGAATTGGACAGCTTTGAGTCCTCAAACTAACAATTGTGCTGATAGAGATAAGGAGACTGACTGATTTCTACTGATGAGATCAATAGCAAGCATTCATAGTGTTCACTAACCCTTTCAGTTGTAGCATTCATTCACAGTGTTCAATAACCCTTTCACTTGTAGCAGCCATCTTCTTGGACTTTATGGATCAGCTCATTTAGCATGTATATGGTATAATTTTTAGTCACTATGAAACACAAACTGTAGTCTATCGGAGTGCTTTCTGCTACAGCATATTTGAATCTAGGGACCCTATGTCTATAATGTTAATTTGGAGCCTTTGACTTTCATGCTTAGCAACTGAAAACTAGATGATATATGTCTGTCTTTTCGATATGAAGCAGTGAAGCAGAGTCAGACACAAAAACTCAAATTGTCAAAGATACCGCACCACACTTGTAAAACAAAAACAGACTAAAGAAATAAGTCCCATTTCATGATCGATTTGCAACAAAAACTAAAAATATATATTTTGACGTTTTCTCATGGATAAAAATTGATAAACATGTTATTTCTAAGCGAAACTGTTGACACAGTACAAGATTTCCCTTTGTGCCTCTTCCTGAATGCATCAGTTTGTTTGATTTGTTTTCATTATGGACTAACTGGACACCAGAATGTGATATTTTGCAATACATATTGAAATATATTGGGAGCTATTTATGTTTTTTTTAAGCCAAAGTGGTGCAAACCTCTGATTTTCTCCTCCTTGTTTGCAGCAACGTCTAACCAAAGACGTATATACATATATATATCTATATATTTATACGTCTTTGGTCTAACTCAGCATGGTCAGTCGCCGCCATTTTGTAGTCATGGATACAGGGGAGATAACAAAGTGAGAGAAAGATTCCTCATGTTTCTGTGGTTTTGTCAATCCCTTTTGAAGGGAAACATTGTTGATGAATGTATGTGTAGATTTTAGGTTAAACAATACAAATAATAACAAATTGTTATATTGTTTTTACCAAATACATAATGGAAAAAATATTCCGATGTGTATCATCTGAAAAGCATCTTCAAACACTCACTCATGCACAGTATGCCGGTAATACTGTGCAATCTTAGAAGCAGTAGAAGAAACATTACTTCAGGTTATGCAGTCACAAGTACATTGTCACCCTTCACAAAGCAGTCTCAGCATTGAGACATTCATTAACAGTTCAGGTGTTGGGGAACAAGGCTGAAGTCACAACACAGAGTTGGTTGACCCAAAGGCAGTGTTTAGAATTTAGATACATTCTGACCAGACGACTGTAATGGCGAGTCTGCGGAAGTTGCCAGTCCACTGTTTTCTACACTGGACAAATAACAATGTCAACATATTGGTAACTCAATAATTGGCTCAATACAGAAATTCAACAGACTCGATAATTCAATTTTCAATAAGCGACATGTGGCGTACCATGTTCAAAATGTAAGCCATTCTTCTTGCATGCTGTCATTGAAGGCAGAGTACAAATTGAGCCAGTTGGTGATGCATTTAGTTGCTAATGTTGTTAACACAGTTAATTATCATCAGCTGATCATGTGTCGTTTATCTATGTGTAATAATTATAACAAGTCATTATCAACTCATGATATAGTTTCTTTAAGTATATCTGAAAAAAATTTAAAAAACCAAAAACCAAACCATTGGGTTAGCATGTTTGTAATATGAAAGAATCGGGTGTTCTTGAACTTCTTTTGAGTACAGTAGAACACGGATATAACGAACTACAAGGGACCAGAGAAATCAGTTCGTTATATCCGTTGTTCGTTATACACGTTTTTGCTCGGAAACGTCCGCCATCTTGGATAAGACAAAACACAATACACGTAATTGCAGTGTTACATGTGAAATCTTCATGGCCTAATTTCACTGCAAGTTCGCCAGCTTTGGTCTGCAGTAACGGACCACTAAGCGTAATGTTTTCGCTTCTCACGGCTTGAAACCACTTGAAGAGGGTGTCCTCTACGTCTTGGCGATTGGCAGCTCGTAACCTCATCCGGGTGGGGCCAAAGTCAGTCGAGTCGCAGGATTCAAGAATGGATTCTCTCTTCTTCATAATTGCAATGTCTTTCAGCATTAATAATTCTCAATTTCGTGTCTAAACTGATAGCTTTCCTCTTACTATTGCCCGCCGTGATAGCATATGCAAGTGAACTGACACTTGGAGTCAATCTCGTAAAATGTATATGTTTAATGTTTGTTTTACAGACAAGATTACATGTACAGTTAAGATTAACACAATGCAAATTTAACAAGGTTGATCCGTCACCGCTGATTGTATTGATTCGCCGCCATTGTGTTGATTTGCCGCTGATTGCGTACAGCCAATTGTCAGTGACACTTGACACTGAGAGATTTCTCAGTTTGCTGTACACGTCACTAATTAGTGGTAAATGGGCTTGTCGGTGATCAGATATCAGTTAGCTGTATCCATTAGTTCGCTGTAGAAAGTTCGTTATATACATAAATTTTATATGATATTATATAGGAGTTAAATCGTGGATTTTTTAACAGTTCGTTGTATCCGTTTGTTCGCTATATCCGTGTTCGTTATATCCGTGTTCTACTGTAGTATATATAATCAAGTAAGCCTCAAAAGAGACATTATTATGTTTTGTGTATTATGCTTCCTGAGTGGCTGTACCACCCTATTATGCCCCAAGGGGCCAGAGTTGAGCTGGTCCCCACCTCACCATTGCTGTAAAGAAAGGCATCTGAATTGGATTGGACGTCAGACTGTGGCTTGGCTGATGGTGCTGAGGATCATTGATCTTGTTTTGAATCACTGGTTTGTCTGGTCCACATTTGATATCAATGGCTGGCATGGTATAGCTGTTCACTCAGCCACTCTACCACCCTATGGTGGGAAATTTTACACACACACTCACTCCCAATAGCACATCACTCACTTCCATCATCAAGGCAGAAATACTTCTCGCTATTCATGGTGTAAATTCATTCACTCACGATCATTTATTCATTTACTACTACGCCTTACATGGTTTCGTATTTCAATCCGTTGATTGGCAGATTTGTATGACCCACAAAGCCCATGAATGGACCGATCCATAGGATCCTGAATCAATTTGTGTTCCCCTGCCTCGTCAGCATCGTGGTGGTTAACGAGCAACATGCACGTCTCCCATTGATCTTTTGGGAAAGAGAGCAAGGTTTTGTTATAGCGGGGCCAGTGTGCCTTGACTTCGGCTGCATCCCGGCTGGAGTGGATTTGGCACAAGGTCAGCTTAACATGATGGAGGTCGATGGTGGAGTGCCAGGTAGGAGGGTCTCTTGTTCTGCATCATCACTGATGTTGTTCTGTGTGGAGTCGGGCAGTCAGGGTTATTGTCAGGTAGATAGACACCGGGATATAAATAGAACATTGTCAAGACCTGTTATGTTTGCACTCATTGTCACGGTTACGTTTCATGGAACTTGTCTGACTTGATGCGGAACTGGCATGGAAGGGTTGCTCTAAGTCTGTCAGTCTGTATAACCATCCTGGTAACCATGGAAAGGTACATTGATGGTAGAGTCTGTACCACAAGAGATGAATACCACACCTCAGCATTAAGATGAAGGGGGATGATTGTCTCCATCGTCTGGGCCTGTTTCTAGCCCTGGTCCTGTTGATTCACGAGAAACTGAGACTTTGTAAATAGGGTAATCATTATCACTGATAGACTGATATATGAATGATATGACTGGGTTTGCAGATATACAAAACGGGTTCGGGATGACACGAACAGGATGAGTCACACTTGCTAGCACTACCAGTTAACTGAACCTGGTCCCCTTTGGTTACACCTGAAAGGTTTGGAGTCATAACTCTGTTAAAAGTTAAAATTTATTTTGTGTCTCATGTTCATAAGTAAAGCAGCAAACATTATACACCAGGGTCCCACTCCACAAAGTGATATTAGCATTACTATTGTCGTTAGCCTATGATAAAGTATGGAAGTTATGATCGTCTTAGCATTACGATTGTCGTAAGCCTATGGTAAAGTATGGGAGTTACAATCGTCTTAGCGTTACGATTGTCGTAACCCTATGGTAAAGTATGTGAGTTACAATCGTCTTAGCGACACAATTGTCGTAAGCCTATGGTAAAGTATGGGAGTTACAACCGTCTTAGGGTTACGATTGTCATAAGCCTATGGTAAAGTATGGGAGTTATAAGCATCTTAGCGTTATGATTGTCGTAAGTCTATGTTTATGTATAGGAGTTACGATTATCTTAGCATTACGATTGTCGTAAGCCAATGGTAAAGTGTGGGAGCTACGATAGTATTAGCACTACGATTGTCATAAGCCTGTGGTAAAGTATTGGAGTTACGATTGTCTTGGCAGATTGAGACCAAGAACCCCCTTTTCCTGTAATTTTGAACACATGTGATATCAAGATATCTTTGACAATAACTGATTGTCTGAGCTGAGGGACAGTTACCTGATTTCTCATGGCACTACTTACAAAGTCATCCAATCAGGGCAGTGTAGGCCACTGATACATAACTTGGATCAGGTGTTTCACTGGACCTGCCCAGAGGCTGATATTGGGCATCCTGTGGCACAGCCGGCAGCAGATTTCAATAAAAATTCCCCAATTAGAATTAGAACCTTCGCACTTCCTGTTAAAATAATTATAACTAATGTGATGCTTGGGTTGGTGACATGTATTTCACTGATAACAGAAGCAATAAAGAGGTAGAGACATCAATGCTTAATTGTACATTTTTGCATTGAATGCATATATTCATGAAAATATTCCTGAATTTTAGTAAAGAACAGGAACTTCCTGTTTCACCTGACAAGTTGAGAATCAACATGAAATAAGGCATCCGGCCCTTGGGACCATTGCAGGCTTTGTTGGTCGTGTTATACAAGGATCTGTTTTGATTATTGATCTAGTATTATCCTATATGTATATTAATGAACCAACATGGGGTCTTTGCTTTTGTTAGTTATTTAAATTATTTCTTGTCATCAAAAAGGTGAGAGCAAAACCTTTATTTAGATATCATAGGGACATTGTAAGGATAGTAACTCCCATACTTTACCATGGGCTTACGACAATCGTAACGCTAAGACGATCCTAACTCCCATACTTTACCATGGGCTTACGACAATCGTAACCCTAAGACGGTTGTAACTCCCATACTTTACCATAGGCTTACAACAATCGTATCGCGAAGACGATTGTAACTCCATACTTTACCATAGGCTTATGACAATTGTAACGTTAAAACGATTGTAACTCCATACTTTACCATGGACTTACGACAATCGTAACCCTAAGATGGTTGTAACTCCCATACTTTACCATAGGTTTATGACAATTGTAACGTTAAAACGATTGTAACTCCATACTTTACCATGGGCTTACGACAATCGTAACCCTAAGATGGTTGTAACTCCCATACTTTACCATAGGCTTATGACAATTGTAACGTTAAAACGATCGTAACTCCCATACTTTACCATGGGCTTACGACAATCTTAAAGCTAATATCACTTTGTAAGGACACATTACAGTGTGTGTGAATGCTGTATAATGAAAACTGGACTGAAGGTTAATATTTAATAGCGTTATATCCTTGTTTTTTATTACCAAGAAGATATTCCATTTTTAGAACTACACTACTGTGTAACTGTATGATATATGATAATGATGTTTGTATGTTTGTATGTTTGTATGTTTGTTTGTTGTTTAACACCGCACTCGGCAATAGTCCAGCTATATGACTGCAGTCTGTAAATAAGCACAATCCAGTGATGATAATGATGATACTTCGTTAATTAGATTTAATGGAGAACATAGAAAATACTGCATTTCCTATTTTGTGGAGAAATTGCCAGTAGACATAAACAAGTTAATTAATGAGTGCAAGCATACATTATCACCATGACCAAGCTGTTTTTCAAGTATTTGATGTATGTTTATACTAGTGTTGGTCCCAGTGTGAAGTGTTTTAATGGATGGTTGTGTGTGTGTGTTGGGGGGGATGTGGTTGAACTCTACCCTCTTCTGATATTGACATACACTGGATATCACAATTGTTTGCTGGCAGTGACACATGGTGTGGAAATCAATGTCACTGGTTCTGGTGTACCAACATCTCATGAGTAATGAGTTACGTCCACTTTTACTTGGCTTATTCCATGAAGAAATTAAGGTATGATGAATATTTATAACTCAAGTGACCATTACCTGTTTCGACCCGTGAAGATCCGGGGTAGAATAGGTCTTCAGCAACTTGCCGTAAAAGGCGACGATGCTTGTCGCAAGAGGCGACTAACGGCATCAGGTGGTCAGGCTCGCTGACTTGGTTGAAGCATGTCATCGTTCACAATTGCGTGGATCGATGCTCATGATATCAATCACTGGATTGTCCAGTCCAGACTTGATTATTTACAGACCGCCGTCATATAGCTGGAATATCGCTGAGTGCGGCGTAAAACACCAAACCAACCAACCAACATTACCTATTTCATGACCAGTATCAGACAATACAGTTATTGATCACATTGCTCCTCAGGAAAGGGGGTCATTTAGTTCTTTTCAAGGTCGATTACAAGTGTTAGAAACAATACACTGTCATATTACCATACATATCTCAATCATAATTTTAGCTTGTTTGTTATTTACTGCTGTACTTTGCTATTTTCCAACTGTGTGACACAGCATGTAAATACTCAAATCTGGGCCAGGCAATCCAGTGATTGATATTATGAGCAATGCTCCACTCTGTTGGGGTATGATGATGTGGAACCAAGTTACTGAGCCTGATCATGTGCTCCATCTAGTCATGCCTTACATCCAGCATGCTGGATATCCTGGAAACAGATTATGCTATTGAAAAAGGTCCCGTGAAGATCCGGGTTAGAAGTGGTCTTCAGCAACCCATGCTTACCATAAAAGGCGACTAACGGGATCAGGTGGTTAGGGTCACTGACTTGGTTGATGCTTGTTATCGCATCCCAATTGTGTGGATCAAAGCTCATGGTGTCAATCACTGGATTGTCTAGTCCAGACTCGATTATTTACAGATTGCCATCATATGGTTGGAATATCGCTGACTGCGGCATTAAACAAACAAACAAAAAACACACAAAAAATCTATTGAAAAAGATTTTATGTCCCAGACAATTCTTGGTGATGTCTGGCCTGATTTAGCTGTCATTTTGCTGAAAGTAACTTCTCACTTAACTTTGAACTGGCCAAAATCATGTACAATGATGTATCATTGCTAAAACTTTGTAGTTATATCACTGTTTTGTCAGAGCCAGATTTGGTATCTGAAGACAAAGAGACTATACTTGTTGTAAGAGACGGCTAATGGCAAGGAGTTATGATGAAGGATTGACATAAAAAACTCTCTGGTAGTGACAAGCCCCGTTATATTCAGTGTAGTGATTGTTGTTACTTCAGTACTGGCGTTCGTACACTGGTTGCCCTTATTAGGTTTCTATGTTTTGCAGCACCATACCCGTACTTGTGGGTTTCACCAAAGTGGTAAACTTCTAAGAATGCAGCACATCAGGATTTCCTCCCACATCAATCTGACATGCCATGATATAACTGAAATACTGTTCCAAGCAGTGATAAATCCAACTCACTCACTCACTCTCTATAGGCAGACATGAAAATGCTGTAAGAATTTAATAACAAGGGCAAGGGTTCTCATTATTGAATTAATGATATGAGGGACCATCTATACTGAAATAAGAAACTCTGGTACTAACATGCAGACCAGTGATAACCCACCCCAATATATTCAGTATAGTGATTGCTGTTACTTCAAGTAGTGGCGTGGGAAGCTGTGGGGCATTCAGACGATGATCTACATGAATACCAGTATCATGAGTTTAGGAAGTGACAACCCAGAAATCTACACACCTGGGTTATTGACACAGTCAAAATTAGCTGGGTCGGCGACACTCACAGTGATATAAGAGTTTATGTGAGTGACAAGTGTTTGCTTACAACTCCGCTGCCTGGTGTACGTCTAGTAGGACCTGAAAAGTAGTCAGGGACCTGTCCTTGTTCTAACGGTATGCCTGAAGCGGTGTGGATAAAACATACAAGTCTAACCATATCAGCTTTGTGTTTCTCATCTCCAGGGCTTCAGAGAGAGTAGGCGGAAGAAAAAAAACACTTTTGGTTGAGAGCTCCAAAGTTTGAACATTGACCTTGTTAGACATTGTCCTCAGCAATAATCTTGCTGTATGATGGCGACTTGTGAATTATTGAGTCTGGAGCAGACATACCAGGGACTGA